TTTCCAGCTTTCCCTCACCTTTTCTCCGCTCGAGTAGAAGAAATATCGCAGGCGGACAATATTGCAGTGATCCAGCTTCCGCATGATCTGTAGCTCCCGGTTCTGAAGTAAAGACAGACAGGCCCAAATGAGACACGGAAGCCCCAGTGGTAAAACGAGCAAAAGACAGACCAGCCCCTCTTCCAGTCTCACCTTGAAACGTTTATCTTGTAATACCTTCTTGATAGCCACCAGCTCACCAGAGTCTGCTAATCGGGCTTGGTAGACAACGCCAAAGGACCCATTGCCGATCACTTTGATATCGGAATATGAGACTTCTTGAGGGCGGTCAGGACCCTGGCCGGGTGTGGCCACCACCGTGGTCACTTTACTATTATCTCCTGAAAAAGAGGAAGGACGGTCAAGCCCAGATGGCTCAGACGGGACAAAAGTCTGATTTAGTCCAAGCGGCCTAATTTAAACTTCCTACATGTCTTCCTCTGTCTTTCCCAATCCATCTCCACAAACGACACCCTTAACACATGTCCCGTTCCAATTAAAAAGATAATCTTCACCAAACCCAGATTAATACTAATAGCAATAGGCGCCCTGGGTGCAACCCCGAAACAGCCCGAGCACTCCTTGAATACCATCAGCATTGAGAAAATCCCCATCAGTCAATTGCAAAAAGGCAGCTTCACTCAGAACAGCTGACATCCTGATACATATCTGTAACACCTTCAAACATGCTCATCTGCCTATTCCAGGTCCCTGGGAAGGACTTGATAGGTGGACAAAAATACCAAACCCAGTCTGAACATCTGGCTGTGTGTTGAACCATAGGAATAATAATAATAATAATAATAATAATAATAATAATAATAATAATAATAATAATAATAATAATAATAATAATAATAAATAAAAAAATAAAAAAAACAAGCTGGTTCATCCTTGGCCCCATGGTTTGCAAACTCAAATTCTACCCTAAGACGGACGACCCAGACTCCTACAAAGCACATCATCACATCCCAACTCCTGACGCGCTTTCAATGCCAGGAAGGAGCAACTAGATGCCCTAGTAGCAAAGGTTGACCTTTTAAGGTGTGACGGCCGGCTCATCGCTACTAAACCCGCTACCAAACCGGGGGTAAGTCGTAAGACAAATTGGGGGCAAATAAACCAGGGAGACGAGCAGAAGGACAAAAGGTTGGGGCCCGCACTTGTTTTTGCCCAAAGGAGCTGGCAAACCACTACCGTGGGCCTCATCCTCCCGCCTGCCTCACCCGGTTTTCCTGCTACAACTTGCATCCCTGGTGAGTTTCGCAGTCAGGGCTCGCCACTCCAACGCCCTCACCCCTCGCCTGACCCCCCCCC